TCAACTCTCCATATCCACAGGTTCCATATCCACGGATTCAGCCAATCGCTTATCCTGAACATAGTACATAGGATCCAGGCTTGGTTGAACTGCAGGTGCGGAAATCAGGCAGATCCGGTTTCCCTGGGGGCTCAGCAGTAGAGAATCGGCCTGCCAGTGGAGGAAGGTTCCACACTGAGGAGCAGCTAAGCTTCTTCACCACAATTACAGAAGAGCCTGTGGCCCACAAGAGAAGCCACTGTGAGATGCCCATGCATTGCAATGAAGAGTAGCTCCCACTTGCCACAACTAGAGAAAGCCCATGCATAGCAAGGAAGACCCAGCGCAGTCGAAAATAAATCAATCAATAAATATCCCCAGCTCATCCACAGTCCCTTACAAAGAGCTGAATGCAGCTATGCTCCCACAGTCAGACTCATACAGTCCTGAGTCAAAGGCATTACCCTTCCGTCTGCATTCTAATCATTCCAAGTACACTCTCCCACCTAAGATCTCCTGCCATGGCTAAAAAGAACACTCTTTCACAGGATTTTTCAGTTTCCACCTAGACAGCCCAGGCTTATTTCTGATCCTGCCTCTTAAAAGCATTCCCCAATTTCAAATTTTGCTCAGAAAGTACCCTCGGATCCACAAATCCTGGAGTGCCTCATTGGCTGGAAGCTAAACGTCTCCAGACATTCATTCATTTTTCTCCTTCATTCATCCAGCAGGTATCTATTGCCTATCAACAGTGCCCAGCTGAGCCTCATAACTGAAATTGCATTCTTTTTATTCTATCCCCGATATGATTATGTCTCCCAAACCAACTCTATTTGCCAATCATTCATTTGCTTTTCCCATAAGTGCTGCATCACTATGCAGGGTCTATGAAGGTCCAATCAAAAGCAAAGAAACACTAGAGTTCAGTCATCTGTGCTGCTTCATTATGATCAGATAAATGCATGGCTCCCTGAAGACCCCTTCATAACAGTATGACCTACCACTGACACCCCGATCCTGCAGACTGTTTCCCCAGACTGAACTTGAGGGGCAGTCAGATGCATGAGAAGAAACTCGGTCCAGCTTCATCCACCCCCAACGCCCATACACAAGGAGCCACCACTTCAACTTTCCTTAGTTCCGGTCCACCTGCTTTCCAAAAGCTTCATATTGCAATCAGGCGCTTGAGAACCACAAGACAAGGACTATAAAGTTGCAGTCTGGCAACAACCTAAGGCACACTCCCCAAAGAGGGAAGTTCTTGCACTGCAGCTACCAGATCCCCACCCCAATCTATTTCTTACCCAGCCCAGCTTCCTGCTCTGCAGTCTCAACACTCTAAGACCAGTTCTCTTATAATAAAGTCCATATGTGACAAATGCATTGCTAACATCATACACATCAGTGAAAAGCTGAAAACATTTCCCCTAAGATCAGGAAAAAGGCAAGGATGACCACTCTTACCATTTTTACTCAACAGAGTATGGAAGTCCTGGCCACAGCAATCAAAGAAGAAAAAGAAATAAAAGGAATCCAAACTGGAAGGGAAGAAGTAAAACTGTCACTGTTTGCAGATGACATGATACTATATGTGGAAAATACTAGAGATGCCGCCAGAAAACTACGAGAGCTAATCAGTAAATTTGGTGAAGTTGCAGGATACAGAATTAATATACCACATCACCACTTCTGCTCCATAGCAAGCCTTTTCAGTTTGGACAGATGGGACCCCAAAGGTATTTCAGGTTAAAAATGAGTTAGAGATTTTTTCTATTACTAGTCACAAAGTCTATATATTATTAATCTTCTATATATTATTTATGGGCTTCCCTGATAGCTCAGTTGGTAAAGAATTCGCCTGCAATGCAGGAGACCCTGGTTCGATTCCTGGGTTGGGAAGACCTGCCAGAGAAGGGACATGCTACCTACTCCAGTATTCTTGGGCTTCTCTTGTGGCTCAGCTGGTAAAGAATCCACCTGCAATGCGGGAGACCTGGGTTCGATCCCTGGGTTTGGTAAGATCCCCTGGAGAAGGGAAAGGCTACCCACTCCAGGATTCTGGCCTGAAGAATTCCACAGACTACAGTCCAAGGGGTCACAAAGAGTCAGACATGACTGAGCAACTTGCACTTTCATATATTATTTCTCTAAGAACTAAGTGATCAGTTGAATATCTATATATCTGAAAAGCAAAGTTATTTACAAATTGAAAAATTTTGTAAAATTTTAAATGATTTTATTTTTTCAGTTCAACAGCAAAATATAATCATTTTGAAAAACTATACCACATTGTAACTCTACAAGCTGATAAGAGTGACACAAAGCATATACGTGACAAGTGACTCATTTTGCTTCCTTTGAAACAAAGAAATACTTTACATCCCATTACTCTTTATTAACTAGCCAAGACTACACACTGATGTTTATTAAAATAACCAATAGATCTGACTTTTTGATATGTGCCAACCCAATGGCAACAAGGACTCTGAAAGGTAAAGACTCCCGAGTTATTTTCATGAATCAATAAAGCCTCAGATCAGGAGGGAAACATGCATTTCACTTTCACTTTAGTCTAGTACAGTTGGCTGGAAACCAGCTTGTTTTTCTCACTTTCATTTACAAATTCCACTTTATTATTTGGCTCTTTCCACTGTTGTTGTTATTGTTTAGTCGCTAAGTCCTGTCTGACTCTTTCACAATGCCATGGACTGTAGTCAGCCAGGCTCCTCTGTCCATGGGATTTCCCAGGCAAAAATGACTGGAGTGGGTAGCCATTTCCTTCTCCAGGGGATTTTTCTGAACCAGGGATCAAACTCGCATCTTCTGCATTGGCAGGCACATTCTTTGCTATTGAGCCAGCAGGGAAGCAGGGCTCTTTCAATAGCAGCTCCTAAAAAAGAAAGAGACCTTTTCTCCTCAAGTACTTGTGCACTTCAGCCTGGAGTCTTAACACATCTCCTTGTTGGAAGCCAGCCTCCTAAGGATGAGTATGACTTCAACTCACAAAGCCCAGGAAACTGACTTCAATGATGAGACTCTATAGTCCATGCTGCCCTCCGCCTCCAAGAGCAACATCATAAAATAGCTGGATATTATAAGTAAGCTATATCCTGGGTGAAGGGAAAAGTAGATGCTTTCTGCCTCATTTAGTAAGAAAATTATGATGCTCAGCCAGAGAGCCTCTTCTTCCCCAGACACAGAAGATGTGCTTCTCTTATGATAGAATTCAAAGCCAGACTGCTCCCTGGACCCCCATTCAGAATAGAACTCTAGCAAACTTTAGTTTTTCAAATAACCCACTCAGTTTCTCATCCTAGAAACTCATCTGGACTCAGAATGCCATTGTGACACTTGCCAAGGATCCAGCCTAGCGATCAGTGATGCAACTGCCTCCCATCTTACCAGCAGTGGGGAGAAATCAAACATGGGAGAGACACTGGTGTTATCCTCGCTATGACTATCACCCTGATCCCAAGTTCCCCAACCAAAAATGCTCTAGAAGGGAGATGATCACCCCACTCCGGTTAAGGAACCAGCACTGTTAAACCATTAGAGATGAACTATCATCACTTTGGAAGCTCAACTCCTAGCTTTCTGGGGCTCCCTACAGTGAAAGCTGGGGAAGAAGCCAGGAGCAGATGGAGTCACTGCTGAGAAGAAATGGTCCTCTCTGCACTGGCTTCTGTGTGGCCCAGAGTCCAGCACTAAGTTTCCAAAGAAACGAGACAAACTGGAGGCAAATTCCACTCATACCTACATCAGGCAGGCCCACCTGGGCCCACGGAGACAAAGCCCCAGCGGGTCCAGACGGCATCAACCTCCAAGCCAGGCGGGGCTTCGGAATGACTGTTTAGAGCAGGAACCCAGCGCATCAAGCCCGCCCACCCCTTGCTGTTGCCCCCACAACAAAGCTGGCCAAGACTTGGGTATGCTGTTGGGATCTCTCTCTGCAGGTTCCAGGGAGGACTCCAGGTCCAGTAAGCACCTGCGGCGAGGAGCAGGAAGGAGCTAGTCAGAGTGGGTCACTCTGCATGGGTGACAGAACAGCCCCTAGTTCCTGGGTACCAGGTAGGTTTGAACAAAACAAATCCGAAACTCCACTTCCTGGAGGAGGTGAGGTACTTAATGTGCTCCAGAACAGAGATGAGGGTACCAAGAGAGGACCAAGGAAAACCACAGTCGCTGGACAAAATCAGCAGCTCTGAAGGACCAAGTCCTATGACCTTGGCTCCATATACACGAGCTGTCCCCAGGAGAGGCCATTATTTCACACATCGAAGCTGAATTCAAAAGATCTGCTTGTGAACTGTCAGAGCTAAGGCTCAAGCTTCACTCAGAACAATGTCACATCAGCCCAGCCACCAGCCAACCAGGTGAGCAAGGGTGGGTCACTCAACTGAGCATCGTCACACACCCATGGAGAGAGGCCCCTTGGTGCTTCTCTTTGAGAGGCTTCCCAAGCCCAGTTAAACCCACTGGGTGCAGTAAATACAAAATCAGAAGAGCGCAAACACGCTAATAAGAAGAAAACTCAGATTACAACGGGAAATGAAAGACGTGAGAAAATGTCAAATGTCTCTCATTCACTCAGGCTGGGTTGGCATCTCTCTCAGCTGGAGGTCAGCAGTACCCAGCCGAACCTTCTGAGCAGATGCGTCTATGAATAGCCTTTCACCCTGACCCATTTATAAACAGAAGAGCTTCCTTGCTCAAATTCCTCCTTGGCTCACAACACATTCAGAAATATCATCACTTACAGCCAGTTGGTAATGCTATGCCACATTCTACGTTCCCTTCACCTGGGAGCTTCACCACACTAGAAACACTCACCCTCTAGTGATTCAGAAGAGACACATGTTCCTGAAAATTAGGGGACTTGGTTAAAAGGTGGGACTGCAACCTACATGTAGAAGCAAAGAAATCAACCAAAATAAAGCTTTAAAGCGGTAAACTAGCAGTGCTTTACTAATCATGCAAAAAGTAAGGATAGAAAATACAGAATAGAAGGTGTGGTACGTTACCCAGAAGCCCTGCTAAAGACCGCATGTCCTTCTCCATCAGCATGTAAATCTCCTCCTCGGAGAAGCGGCCAATGCCGTGGCCATGCATCTCGCGTTTCACGATTCCTTTCGTTATGTGGCACACGACCCACCTCAGCAGGTTACTGAAGGGACCGCCACCACTAAGAGAGAGCATCTTCCGGGTCTCATTGAGATTGTCCACCCACTGGCAATAAGCTAAGGTCCTGGAATTGCGTGGAAAGAAGTTACTACCGTGCGTTAGAACATAGCAGGTCCACAGACTCAACTTCCAGGGAGGGTTTGGGAATTCAGCGCAGGCTAGAGGACTGAATCACTGCAGCTTTTACAAAGAGCAGTCTGCAGGGCAGATGCTACGACAGACTCAAGTCCATGCCTGCACCTAGGGTCAGATAGCTTGCCACGCTACCATCCACCAAGCCTCCTCTGAACCTGCCCAGAGACCCCCAGCCCCCCAAGGCCGTGCTTCTGCTCTCTCTCAGGCAGCCCCACAGAAAACAAACAGAAACCCACTTTAAAAGGGTTTTAGGCAGGACAGTGAGTGACTATGTGGGCGGGTGGGGGGGTGGCAATGGGAAGGAGGTGGCAGTGACTGGGGTGCTGGTTCCATTCTTTTTTGATCAAAGTGATGGTTATACAAGCCTCTGCTCTGTGTTTTTAATTTTTATTGAATTATAGTTGATGTACAATATTGTGCTAGTTTTAGGTGTACGGCAAAGTAATTCAGACACACACATATATATACACACATATTTATATTCTTTTTTACATTCTCTTCCATTATAGGTAATTATAAGATATTGAATATAATTCCCTGTGCTATACAGTAGGTCCTTGTTGATTATCTATTTTACATATAGTAGTATGTATATTTTTATCCCAAACTCCTAATTTGTCCCCCTCCCTGCCTATGGTCATCGTAAGTTTGTTTTCTATATCTGTGAGTCCATTTCTGCCTTGTAAATAAATTCATTTGTATCATTATTTTAGATTTCACACATAAGCGATATCATATGATACTTGTCTTTGTCTGGCTTACTTAGTATGATAATCTCTAGGTCCATCCATGTTCTTGCAAATGGCATTATTTCATTCTTTTCTATGCTCTATGTTGATTAATTAAGCTGCACATTTTTTGTCTTATACACTTTGTGTATACATTTTATATTTCCTGATATAGAAGGATTTTTTTTTCCAAAAAGAAATTTTTTTGCCTTTTTGACAGAATCTCTGTGGTGGCTCAGATGGTAAAGAATCTGCCTGCAATGCAGGAGACCCAGGCTCGATCCTGGGTTGGGAATATCCCCTGGAGAAGAGAATGGCTATCCACTCCAGTATTCTTTCCTGGAGAATTCCATGGACAGAGGAGGCTGGTGGGCTACAGTTCGTGGGGTCGCAAAAAAAGTCAGACACAACTGAGCAACTAACACTTTCACTTTCACAGAATAGTTACAGCTGCCCATGTTTACTATGAACTATATAAATTATAAATAGTATACAAATGATTCTTTCTCCAGAAAGGCAGCTTCAGTTTGTTCTCCAGGACCCTAGAGTCCTGGACAGAAATACCAAAGGAACTTGGTTGGCTCATTCTTCCCGACAGGGTGATGGTTGTGGCAAAAAGTCCAGAAGCTCCTGTGTGACCCGTGTGGATGCTAAGCAGTTAACAGTGCTGGCTGCAACACTCAGGCCTTTGCTGATTTTGTTCTCTGAACCTGGGGTGATCGCCAGACTGTTTTTATGGTTCGTAGTGTTGGGAGACAGAAATTAGAAGGTTTTCCTACTGGAGGCTAAGAAAAACATAGCTGTGGGCGTAGAGACAGAAGATATTTTAGCTCTTCCTCGCAGTGAGCAGTAAAAACTGCACTGGAGTCACCTCCCGCTGCTGGCTGATACAGGAACGGTCACTTGGAAAACATCAGAGGAGTGAAGATACTTTTTACAGAGAGAAGGGATGATACAAGGGATGACAGCTAATTGTAGCTACTTTCTATCTCAAGAAAAAGAAACAAAAGCAGAAAATAAGACCCTGATATTTTGATCATTTTATACAGTTCTATTCTTTAAAGTATGGAAATAAGGGGGAAAAAACAGATTTCTCTAATTTTTTAAAGTCTTCCTGATTTTCACTGAAAAGTCTCACAACCAATATCAACATACTCTATGCTACAACAATAACTCTTTTTTATTAGCTTTTTAAAAGGTGCTTACAAATCTTGTTAGAAAGATCTGTGCACCTCTTTTAGTAAGGATCTCAAAATAAACTGTTGAGGAGGCAAGAAATTTTTGACTGAAAAGAGGAAAAAGTACACTGCAATGGTAACTAATTAATATGTAGAGAGTCAATAAAACTTCTGATATAAAAGATTTCATTTATTCTCACATGTTTTTTTATAAATGTGCAAATAAAATGCTTTTCTAGTTGTTCCTTTTATACCTGCAATAATCAGGGTGCCACTTTTCACATTCCACTAATCAGCACTTTGATTCTAGTAATAACTATACTAAACCTAAATTCATAGTAAAAAGGCCAGTTCCATCCTTGATTATTCTGGAAGTCAGCGATCTGAAAATAAAACTAAATTACCCTAAGTTAAGCATGACCAGGTAATAACTGCATCCAGGAAGCATCTAAAGTGTAAAAATGAGGAGTGGGGTGGCTCTAAACAGATAGATTGGTGTGAAAGAGAATTCATTCTTTGTAGACAAATCACATGGGTTTGATCACAAGCACAACTGATCTAGAAGAATGAGCAGCCGTTCACCAGGCAGCAGAGGCGGAGGCGTGTGCGGAAGAGTCCCAGCTGCTCCATGAACGGCAAGAACTTCCAGATGGGCAGCTGGGGCCTGGGATGCCGGGGGAGCCTGGAAGCGTTGAAGCCAGAAGGATGGGCAAGGACTGGGTCAAGATGCACCTGCTACTAAGGGACTAAGACTTATTTTGAAAGCCACGTTGAACCCCCAACAGGTTTTAAGCAGACGAGACACATAATCAGATGCGTGGCAAGGTGAAGAAAGGAGTGGAAGTAGAGACATGATGGAGGACGCCATCTCCCAGGCTGAGGGTTGGAGTGGATGGTAACCAGTCCCGGCACACACAAACTGGACAGACTCAGGTGATGAAAGACGAGCTAACCTGTTGCATTTGAAAGCTCCATAAAACCTGCAAGGGAGGATCCCGAAGGTTTAGGTTCTATGGGCAGGGGCAGGGTGGTGGCCGTTTCAAAGAGGCAAGAGGAGCTGAGGTTGCCTAAGAAAGTTTCTAGGATAAGGAGTGGTTCGAGAGAAGCCTAGTTCCAAGGCAAGTGAGAAGACCAGAGGGCCAGGCGGGAAGGGCCCGCACGGAGAGAAGGAGGGACACCGCTCTCTGTGAAACGGAGAAGTGAGGGGCTGCAAGGAGGTTCCCAGTTTCCCATGAACTCGGTCTCCTCTGAGAGCAGGAGATGAGGGCGTGCGCCGAGGATGAGGCGGCCGCAGCGGGAAGAGAGTCTGAGAAGACCGATGAGTTAGCGGAGCTGTAGGGACAGAAGAAGCGGCTGTTGTCTGGGCCACACAGCTGAGCAGGGCAGAGAAACACACGCCATGCCCAGCCCCAGGCTGTGGTGGAAGGTTCTCCACCTGCATCAGCAGGTCAGACGCAGGGCACAGGAGAGACACTGGGTTGATTCAGAATGTGGCAGCTGAAAGTAACCTCAGACACTGGCTCTCTGTCCTTCTCTTCCCCACCCTGCTCTCGTTTTCCTTCCTCTCTCTCCCTGGCCCCAAACTGTAGACCAGTATCAGGGAAGAGAAGCAAATAAGAGCCACACAGGCTCTTCCATGGCCAACTCCTGTGAAGTGGGTATAAACTGCAATGTCAATGAAAATGCGCCCTTCAAGGGTCCCTAAGTCAATTTCTACAGATCAAAGACATCCCTCACACATGCTGCCATATCCTGACAACCCCAAGTCCACACCCGCCCACATGAAAGCTTCCTGAACATCTCCAGGTGAAAGGGACTGCCACACCCACCACTCCACCAGAACCACTCTCGTCCAAGTCAACAAGCCCTTCCTGTTGCAAAGTTCAAATACATTTTCTTTTCATCTTTATCTTTCTTGAACTCTTTGCAGCATCCAATACTATCAGCCTTTTTCTTAGAATTCTCCCTTGGCTTACATCTCTACCACTTTTCCTCTCATCTCTTACATGTTGCCAAGGTTTTTATCTTTATCCCTTCTACCTTCTTACACCTCACTTATGGGGTGATCTATGTTTCACATTCATGATTTCAAAGTGAAGACTCCCAACTCCATATCACAGCCCACAAGACCTCTGTCCCGAGATCTGCAGACGCACTGAGGGAGCCTCAGGCACTCAAACCCACATTTCCAAAGTTGGATTCATCCTCTTTCTTCCTCGAAAATCTGCTACTCTGCACCTAAACCAGAAGGAATCCCGGAAAGTCCTCTTCACCGCTCCCCACCCCTCCCTCCTGACAGCCAGTCACCCCGCGGCTTTGTCACCAATTCGACTGACACTATCATTCCGGCTGCATCACTGCCCAACCCTGAGGATGGTGGCCGCCTCACAGGACTTCTAGAAATCCATTTCCCCCTAGTCAGCCACAAAAAGCTTTAAAACACAAATTCCACGGTATCACACTGTTTCTCAGAGTCATGCATTCGCTCCCCATAGCTGCTTCACCTGGCACCTCAGCCTCCCCCATCCCACTGCCCCCACCACAGCCTGACCCCAAAGCTGGCACTGCCTCCCCACAGAATTAAACATGCCTGCCTACCTCCTTCTGGCCCCTAAACTCTTGCAGACTGCTGCCCCCTCTGCCTGACAGCCTCATCTTCCCCTCTCAGCCGATCCCTTCCCCCACCACTCTGACCGGCCCTAGATTCCGCGTGACATCATCTCCTCCGGAAGCCTGCGTCACTCACAGCGCTCCAGCAGATGCTCTCCAGACTCTCCCCCAGCGCTGCCTGGCGCTGCAGGCTGGATGGCACCGTCCCCTGCGGGCCGGCGGAGGACGGGCACCTCGCCTGCCCTGCCATCCAGCCCCTGGGGGTCATTCATCCCGGAACTCTGCTGAAAGGATGAATTGTTGACTGAATGAAACGTTCTGAGCCAGCTGCTGCAGTGGAGTGTTTCTAAAAGCTACAATATTTACGTGGGAAAATGGAAAGAGAGAGGCCTGTGGAAAATGAGGAAGAAAGG